AGAGAGAGAGAGAGAGAGAGAGAGATGTGTGTGTGTGTGTGTGTGTGTGTGTGTGTGTGTGTGTGTGTGTGTGTGTGTGTGTGTGTGTGTGCGTGCGTGCGTGCGTGCGTGCGTGCGTGCGTGCGTGCGTGCGCGCGCGCGTTTGCGTGTGCGTGTTGGTAAATAGATAGAGATATCTATTAAACTTATAATAATTGCAGTGCACTTAAAGTGATCGTTAGCCATCAGTTATCAATTAATGATTTTAAGGTTTTACTAATGGTTGTAGCAAGGCAAACTGTTGTTGTCTAAAGACGACTGCAATATTTCTCTCTCCAGGAATTCCAGATGCTGAGCAAACTTTTGATGCATCACGTACAGCATCTGTTCTGTTTTCTTTCTTTCTTTCTTTTTATGTTGTCATTATTATCATTACTATCATATATTATTATTGCTGTTGATGTTATCATTATGATCATCATTGTTATTGTTATTATTATCAATATCGTTATCATTATCATTATGACCGTCATTATCGCTATCGATAGCACCATCATTATCATTATTATTATCATCATTAGCTTCATCATCATTACCATTATCATGATTATCATTTGACTTTAATCGCACTATCTTTTGGTATCATGCTGGGTTAATTTTGATTATGAATCAGCTCCTTCCTGGGGTTTAGAAGCATAATGATCTGTGAAGTAATCCCGTTGTTCGCAAGATGGCCGTCATTTGTGACCGGCAGTGATATCCGGAATGCCCGATGACGTGAATGAGTCAATTTATAGTGTTCGTATTACTCGTATAATTGGTCCCGTTTCCGATTTTACCGGATATATATATATATATATATATATATATATATATATATATATATATATATATATATATCTTTTTCCATTTCAAATCCCAAGTCACTATTTTGTTTGTTTTTTCTTATCTTTAACAATGTCAGTCACATGATCTGTTGTCAAGAATAGTAATTTCCGGACGGTTATGATTTGTGTGTCGATCAGTTTCAGTTTTGTAAAATCCCAGAGGAGCTTGTTTTAGTTTTCTTCCACCGGCTTATTCTCGTCCCCTTTTCTGCACGCTCGTTTTCTTTCCACTCTATTTTCTGTCCCCTGTGCTGCATCACTGAATTTCTTTGCAAAGTTTCACTGTGTCGTGCTGCAAGTTTATCATATTTTGCTCTTTGTCGTGTCTGAGTTATCTCCGTGCATCCGCTGGCCAAATGTTGAACGTTATCTTGGTCTAATTTACGTAATCTACACCGATCATTTCTTCAAGTACCATTAATCTTGCCACGAATGTAGTTTTATTCGCAATGGATAGTCCTGGTCTGCATAAATCATGCCCTTGTCTAATTTTTCCTTTTCTTCACAACCTCATTCTTCAACCAGTTCCATGTTCTTTCGTGAGGATGTTCTTTTATATTTAAAAAAAAAGAAAAAATGTCGATATAGTGGATAATCATACCACTTTGTGTTTTCTCTAAATTTGTATTACTCTAAAGTTTCAGTTGACAATTACTTTTTCTTCAAACGCCATACCTATCAATTTTCTTCATCGCATACCACATAATCATTAAGATTAATCTCAGCTTTACACATTCAGTATGCTCTTATATGCTAATTAGTCATATTCACCTTTCTTCCGCTTCCTGTATAACTCTGCCACATTACTTCTCATATGTCATGTTCTGTACGTGGTGATAATTTTCGTGTTTTCCCTCTGAGGTAGCGATTTCTTCTGTTTTCTTCTCCGTTTTCCTCTAAGTAGCGATTTTCGTTCTCATGTCCACTCAGCAATACCACTACACATCTACAACAATGCTACTGCCCCGCGTTAATGCCTGCTGGGCGGTGCAGCGGTAGCGGTCTTGTCTAACAATCTTGCTAACCTGCGTTGAAGTCCTGCACCGACACTTGAAAGTGACCCTGGCTATTCCTTGCAGAGGGGTAGTTGAGAAGCAAATAAACAGACATCATGTCACAGCAAAGAATATCCATTGGTACAGATGGAAATAAACTAAATTATTAATTATTGATTATTATTGCTATAAGACCGTTCAGCAATGATCAGTAGTTTCTTCCTCCGTCTAATGCAGTGGTTCTAAGCCTGATTAAAGTCACAAACCCTTTTAAGAATCTGATGAATGCTATGGACCCCCATTCCCCGGCAGAAATATGCACACAAACCTAACCTTGCATGCCGTGTGCACGATGTACCTTACATTTTAAAAAGTGTCTCATGCATATGATATATTCAAAGTATTATTAAGCTTTAAAGTAACAATCGAAAAAAATACTAATGTGAATGTTCATTTTTTCTCTGATCTTCACGAAGCCCCATGAAATCCAGGGTAAAGAACCCTTGCCCTATTGTCTCCGCGTTTAACCTTATCCCTCGCTGCTGTTTCAAGACTTTATCCAACCGCTGTAACCCTAGATATACGTAACAGTTCTCATCAAAGTTTTTATTTATTTAAATTGACCTCCCCCCCCCCCGTCAAGCAAAGCACATATTCGACATCCTCCCCCCCCCCGTCAGATACCAAGCGAAGCACAGTTGCTTAATCCCACACGCCATTCCAATTAAAAAAGAAAAGGAAAAAAAAAAAATCTTTTCCTTGCCCTCGGGAAGCCAAGGCGTTACATGCTCCCGCTCCGATTCCTCCTTCCATACTGAGCTCCGAAATCATGTTTATTTTCTTTTATCATAGATGGGGTTGGGGTCGACTTGCACTTCTAGCTTCTTAAAAGAAATGTTTTTGAATAATTATAAATTGGTTATTTTGGCGTTACTGAGTATTGTGTTTTTCGATCCTTTTAATCTTGTAGCTCCTTGCTTCAGTGTTATTGCTATTATTGTTATTGGTATCACTGTTATTATGATTATTTTTATTATCGTTATTCTTATCTTTAGTAGTATTAATGCTGGCAGTAGTAATAATAGTAGTAGTAGTAGAAGTAATGTTAATATTATCATCATAAGCATTTCATTATTATTTGTTGTTCTTATTATCATTATTGTTTTTTATTATTATTGTTATTATTATTTGATATCATATATGTATTATTTATATTATATATCATTGTTATTATTATTATTCATTATTATATATTATTATTATTATCATCATCATCTTTATTGCCATTATCCATATTTGTTATTATTCTTATTATTATCATTATTATTATTATCATTATTATCATTGTTGTTGTTGTTATCATTGTTATTATCATCTTTACTGTTATTATTATTATTACTGTTATTATTATCATTACTGTTATTATTATTATTATTAATTATTATATATTATTACATTATTTTATTAAATTATTATTATTATTATTATTATTATTATTATTATATTATTATTATCTATTTTATTATTATTATTATTATTATTATTACTGTTATTATTACCATCATTATTATTATCATTACTGTTATTATTATTGCTGGTATTAATATATTGCTATTATTGATATCAATTATATTTTCTGATTATTATCATCGCTATGATTATTAAGTAATAGTATTATTATATCAAGTAGTAGTAGCAGTAGTATTACAGTTATTATTATCATAATTGTCATCATTATCATTGTTATCGTTATTATCATTATCGCTATTATCATTATTATTATTATTATTATTATTGTTATTATTATTATTATTATTATCATTATTATTGTTGTTGCTGTTAATGGTATTTTTTATTTTTTGTTATCATTTATCATTATTATTATCATTATTATAACGACTAACTATAACTACTACTACTACTGATTATTAGTTATTATTATTTATTTAATTATTATTCCCCCTTCTCTCGGGGTGTGTCGCCTATGCTGTTCCTTGTGCCTCCTGTGATAAGCTTCGGTGAGAGAGGGGCCAGTCTCACTAAGCTTCTATCTCAACATAAATACGCCGTATCATTAAACATTAACACAACAAACGCCCTCGTTGGAGACACCAACATACAGCCTCTTTGGAGACACAACAACAGCGCTCTTGGAGACAAACAGCGCCCTCTTGGAGACACAACAACAACGCCTCACACAACAAAGCGCCTCTTTGGGAGCAAACACAACGCTGGAGACACAACAACAGCGCCTCTTTGGAGACACAACAACAACGCCTCTTGGAGACACAAACAGCGCCCTCTTGGAGACAACACAAACACGCCCTCTTGGAGACACACAACACTTGGAGACCAACGCAGCGCTTTTTGGAGACACAACAACAGCGCCCTCTTGGAGACACAACAACAACGCCCTCTTGGAGAACACACACCACAAACGCCCTCTTGGAGACACAACAACAACGCCCTCTTGGAGACACAACAACAACGCCCTCTTCGGAGACACAACACAACGCCCTCTTGGAGACACACAACAACAGCGCCTCTTCGGAGAACACACACATTGGAGACAAACAACAACGCCCTCTTTCTTGGAGACACAACAACAACGCCCTCTTGGAGACACAACAACAGCGCCCTCTTGGAGACACAACAAGGGCCCCTCTTGGAGACACAACAACAGCGCCCTCTTGGAGACACAACAACAACGCCCTCTTGGAGACACAACAACACGCCTCTTGGGACACAACAACAACGCCTCTTGGAGAACAACAACAACGCCTCTTGGAGACACAACAAGCGCCCCTTGAGACACACACAGCGCCCTTTGGAGACACAAACAGCGCCTCTTGGAAGGACGCCTTTGGGAACAACAACAGCGCCTCTTGGAGACACACACAGCGCCTCTTGGAGCACAAAACAACGCCTCTTGGAGACACAACAAAACAGCCCTCTTGGAGACACAACACAACAGCGCTCTTGGAGACACACACGCCCCTCGGAGACACTACAGGTATAACAACGCCCTCTTGGAGACACAACAACAACGCATCTTGGGACCTGACAACAACGCCCTCTTTGGAGAAAAACAGCGCCCTCTGGTAGACACACCAACGCGTCCTCTTTGAGACACACACAA